GGGGGGGGGGGGGGGGGGGTTCTTGGAGGCTGATCGAGACACATCTAGATGCAGAGAAAATATGGGGAGGGAAGGGGTCCGAAAGATGGCGCAGGTCCGGAAGCTGGTTCGTCACATGTGCCCGGCCATTCCCAACATGTACCACATCGTGCAGACTCTGTGGGCAGCGAAGCCACCCTTCTACATCAATGCGATAGCCCACCCTCCCCTGTCCAAGATGACACCTTACCTAGAAGCCCTTCCCCAGAGTCACGCCCCAATCGACCCCTCAGTGGGAACTCAGACAGGAAGCAACCCCGGATGAAGCTCAGCCCACAACCATCGTAAGATCAACCTCAAGTCCTCCCATGGGAATTGTATATGCCTAACACCCAACCACTACCACTACTCAAGGGGGGTGTAGAGAGCGGGGTCTATCCGGGGCCTAGGATCGTACAAAGTGAGTATGGACTCTCACGGGTGAACTACGACGCCGGGAAACCCCGTGGTACCCAGAAGCACCCCAGCTACACCCACAAAACAGACCATACGAACGAGGCGGCACCCACAGACAGGCCCACAATCCCTACACAAGATCCTATCTACCCACCACCACCCTATCCATCTACCCCTTCCTCAGTCCATCTATCACCTCTACCCCCGCCCATGGTACATGACCCGGAGATCATCAGACCATACTCTACGCACAACCCATGCACAACACTGGGCACTCAAAGGCCAAACACTCAAACAGCCCTCCCCCCAAAGCCAGCTACCAGCATACTGCAACCATGGACCTAACCCCTTGGGTGGTGCACACGCAGTGTCTGCATAAACTGACCTTGCGTCAGGCCGAGGGCGCTGTGTGAATGGCTGGGCGCTATGAAAGCGCGTAACAGCGGACGTGCGTGAGGCCATGGAGTTTTGAACCCACGACCTTATACCACAATGCGCATTTCCAGCGGTGCTCTAACCACTGAGCCACCAGGCCATTCCCGACTGATCCCATTCCATAACCAAACGAACACAGCACTTTCTGGTGTTGGAGTGCCTCAAGCATACATAGACCCGTCGAAACCTCTGAGTCCTTTCACGCAATGTCATAGTTTGAACCCTCGTCCTTCTGACTGATCCCAACCTCTGAGTCCTCTCATGCAATATCATAGTTCGAACCCTTGTAATTCTCACTGATCCCATTTGTAGACCAAAAGCACACAGGTGTTCGAGTGCCTCAAGCACCCATGGACTAAAGGCATACTTAAACTGCACGTGTGTTGGAATCCCTGTCTGCACAAGCTGAGCTAGGACTCTGGGAGTGGGGGTAGGCTCGGGAGAATTGACGAGAAGAAGGGTGGGTGGGTGGGTGGGGGTCTCATCAGGGGAGAAAAAAAGAAAAGGTGACGGACGCAGTGGGGGTGCGCCAGGGACAAATGAGGAAAAAGGGTGGGCGGGGGCTCTCGTGAGGGCAGAAGAAGACCCAATTGTGGAAGGAATAAAAAAGAGAAAAGACAGAGAAAAAGAGAAACGTGAATGTCTCCCTGAAAACCTCCTAGTTCTTCGGGCGGCTCGACATGCTGTTTGAGGCTCTCGCGGCAGTAAAACTGGCCTTCCACGTATGCTTAGGACGGCCTTTCGGCCACTCAGCAATCGGGTTTTCATGTGTAGTGTCTTGCGGCTTTTGCTGCCCGTGGGGGAGTTGCTGTTGCCCTTTGCTTTCCTTTTTTTGCCCTTTGGTTTCCGATGAAGTCCTCGGTATGATTTTCCTCGGACCCTGCTCTTGCTGTTGCACTTTTTTTTTTTTTTTCGTTTCCAAATCCGCTGTTGCCCTTGGCATCCAAATACAGACAGAAACGAGTTGATTTCGTGAGAAAACCGAGTCATATCATGAGCGATGACGTCAACAATATTCTCGCCAACACTCGGACTCCAACGGTAATCAGAACGCGCGGTTCCGACGACGACTCTGGCGTCCCGTTCTGACACTCTCCACCCCTCATCTCCCCCTTTTCTTTTTTTTTTTTTTTCTTTTTTTTTTTGTTTGGCATAACATCTCCCCTTTCTGCTATCCCTCATCTCTCCTTTCTGGTATCAGTCATCGCAAAACGCCCCTAGTGAAGAGAAAGGGGATGGTGAACTCGGGGCATACATACATACATACATACATACATACATAAGAGGGCGAGGACACGCCTAATTCGCAGCCAAGCTCATTTCGCATTACGAGTAGCACTACCGTAGGTGCCTTGAGCACTGACCCGCAGCTATAGCAGGAGTCCCGCTCCCTCTCTCTTCCGGCCGCAAGCCGTTGCTTTGCTTCATCATACTTGCGCAAGTACTTGTTCAGAGAAGCAGGACCGCCTCCATCTCACAGCTGCGATCGCGCAAGTGAGGGATCCGTCCATCGATTGACCGGGCCAAGGTGACAGAGGAGGAGGAAGCCAAAATGGAGGAGAAGCCCACTTTGGCTGGCATCGAGGTGGCCAATGCCAACCCTTTGGGCCTGACCGCCTTTGCGCTCACCGCATTCACCATGTCCATGTTCACCACGGGTCTGCTGCCGGAGTCCGTCAGCAACGTGGGCTTGGCGATGGGCTACTTCTTCGGCGGGGCGGGCATGCTTCTTGCGGGGCTGTGGGCGTTCTTTGCACGCAGCACCTTCGGCGCCACGGCCTACTGCTCCTACGGCTTCTACTTCCTCGCGTACACCTACTACACGGTGGAGATGCAGAACGACGCAGAGAACCCCGACAAGACCCACGTGGCGCTGGGCGTGTTCCTGCTGGGGTGGACCATCTTCACCATCTGCATGACCATCATCTCGTACAGGACGTTCCGCGCTCTGTTCATCATGTTCGTCTTCCTGACGCTGGATTACTTCTTCAACATGGTGGGCGCATGGGCGGACTCGAAGATCGCCACCAAGGCCGGAGGCTGGTTCGGCCTAATGGCAGCGGCATCGGCGCTGTACTGCGCCATGTCCATCGTCGTAACCGACACGTGGCACGAGGAGCTGCTGCCACTCGGACACTACAAAGGATAAGATGCTAGGACACTTGAAACCATAGTCTAGAGAACTACCATAGCCTCTAGGATTCTAGGAATATGTTCCCTGAAGATTTTATATATCGCTGACTCGCTGACTGAGCACGGTAAACGCGCACAATCACACAACAGGACACATAACATTACTAGGTTACGTGCAAGGCCCCTATGACAGAGCGGGAAAGGCAACGATTCGCTGGAGTGAAGATTTTGGGAGCTGCAGCTTCTCGCTGCTTGCGGCCACCGGTGTGTTATGTACTATGTAGGTTGTTACGCTGATAGAGTATGATGAAGACTGAAGTTAGTGAACGATCCTGATGAGCGTTCGGACTGTGTTGCCGTAAGGGGGGGGGTGGTCACAGACTTGGCGACGCGAAACCTGTCGACGCTGTCGTACCTTGGTCCTTGGATACAGGACGAAATTGGTAGGGAAAGAATACAAAGGTTTTGCCGCCGGGAATGACCTTAGGGATGAGGGACAACATTAGTTTAGTTTGGTCTGGTTCGGTTTGGTTTGGTTGTGCGCCTTGCCTGATCAGTGGTAGATGCGGCTTGTAAGCGAGTAGGAGTGTGGAGACGCTTTCTGTTAGTAATTCATTGAATATCTTGTTGTTTTTTTTTTTTTTTTTTTTTTTTTTTTTTTTTTTTTTTTATAACAAAAACCGCTCCATCTATTGGAGGAAGAATCGTTATTCCGCAGGACCGCAGGATTGGAGGAGGTCTCAGGAGGATGAAGAGACAGAGAGAGAAGCAGTTTGGGACCATCTGTCCTTCCCGATGGGAGTCCCGTTACAGTTAGCGTGCCGCTTCATCTCGCGGCAGAGGTTGACGTGAATTCTTTTCTTTTCTTTTTTTTTTTTTTGTTGGGAAGTTCCGGTTCCGTTCATGCAGTTAATTCCCCGTCTGTGCGTGCGTGCAGATGGATGCATGCCACTGATTTATGCTCATTCGTCCGTCATAGCTCTTCGGTTCTTGAGATTCAGTTCGTTTTAGATTCCCTCATGATAAAGGATTGGGAGAATTTTGGACTCCCCGCCTCCCAGGCACTCCCTGCTTTGATTAACCCTCCAGAGTCCAGTCCATCGGATAGTGATTCCAATTGGAAAATAGTAATTCCCCGTCTGTGCGTGCGTGCGTGCGTGCAGATGGATGCATGCCATAGTAGCGGAACGTGCGTGCGTGCGTGCGTGCGTGCGTGCGTGCGTGCGTGCGTGCGTGCGTGCGTGCGTGCAGATGGTGTCAGCGAGAAGCAGACGAAGGAGGGCGAAGAAAAAGTATGGTACATTGGTACATGTCATTGAGTGATTGAAAAATGTGACCTTGAATAAGAAGGTGGAAGGCAAGATAAGCATTCCTGAAGCGGATGATCGTTTTTATGAGGGGTGTCGCTGAGTGAGATTCTGTGAGAAGCCAAGTAGCGGAACAGCTGACAAATGTGGAAACCTATTTCACTCGTCCGGCCGAAGAGCCGTTGAACGGTATTTAATTAGTATTTATGACGTTGAAGTGTTCGGCTCCAGCTCTCTCTGTTTGCGATAAGTGAACTTCCCAGCTTCCCCGGAAGGTGTAGAATGTAATTGCCTTTTGTAATTCGTGAAACCAACTACAGAGGAGGATATCATCATATCAGAGGTCAGTAGTTCAAGTGGGACTTCGGTCCCGATGCCAAAAGAACGGGCTCTCGATCGTACTGAAATTAACTGACTCGTAACGATGTTTTCTATGAATGAAAGAACGTGGCCTACATGGTTGATCTGTCTTTTCGATCAGTCTATCCCGTCCCTCTACCTGTCTGTTTGTCGATCCGCCTCTGTCCGTAAGTGCTTGCTTGTGTGCATCTATGATCTCTCTCTCTCTCTCTCTCTCTCTCTCTCTCTCTCTCTCTCTCTCTCTCTCTCTCTCTCTCTCTCTCTCTCTCTCTCTCTCTCTCTCT